AAAACCAAGTGCTTGAGGCCTGGGAAAAAAAACCAAGCCAGTAAGAACGATATCTCTAGGTTATGGGAGTGAAAAACCTAAATAAGCTCAGAATAAAATATACTGTACTCTAAGGGTGGAGACCTTTGTTTGGTTTTCTCTGGGTTTGGCATATATTCTTTGCTGACTGTATTTATTGGGATAGGTGGAGATCTGGTTACTAGCTCCAAACAAGGTGGTTTACTGAAACAGCAAACTAAAGTGAGAGTCTAAAGTAATAAATTCCCTTTCAAGGCCAACTCAGCAGCTGTTTTAAAGATATCAGACACCCAGAAAACACACTGGCAGCAGAACTCAGAGGCTATATGTATAGATCATGAATCACCCAAATCAACGAGACATATAATTCACACATTCTTCCTTTCAACGATTTCCCTTCTTTGTTTTTGTATAACTGTTCTCCATTTTGAAACATTATTTTCTCTCAAAACCTCATTAAAAATGAATAACACATCACATTAATTATATTCTCCCTGAATGCCCAAACAATTCAAAATAACACAACAATGTTTATTGAAATAAAATAAAAACCAAATGAATATAAATTTATCGATTACCAGAAACAGAATAAATGGGAACAATATGTCTTTGAAGTCCATCCAGAAAAAAACTGGTTTTCACACATTATCAAAGGCTTGCCCCAAGGGGGAAATCTAGTTTTCAGGATGAGGCTGTTGTATGATGGAAAAACATAGTTCTCTCTCTCTCTGACCATTTTCCTCATAACTCTGAGGCAAAATTTACATCACGAGAAATATAGCTTGCTTAACTCTAGTTTAAGCAGCCACAGTGTATTAAATCCACACTAACTCACAAACCATAATTTGCAAAATATAATGAACCAAATTCATTATGATTTTAAATGATAAATCATAACCAAGCCATGTTTTGGTTCAGCATGACATGTAAATTGAACCATATTCTTTTTTCCTCTCTGACCTTTTTATTAGGGCTGTGTGGATAGGTTCTAGTCCGATTTGAAATACTAGTCCGATTTGGGTTAGTTCAATGTGATTTTTAAAAGAGCAGCTGCACATGGGCAAAGGCTTCTGAACTATTGAACCAATTTGGAAGTATTTAATTCAGTCTAATAATTCAAATTTAACTTCCTGGTTTAATTCAGTGTTTGATTGTAATCAAGTTGCTATTGAATCTCCATAATAAAGCTTACCCAACTCTACTTTTTATCCATATCATCTCTCTTTTTTGATCTGCTTGGGATCATAGTAGCACATATATAATTGCTAGTACTTTAGTTATATCAGGGACATCATATGTGCTGACTTTGAATTTTATCAATGCATTCTACAGATGAGATCTCATTGCTAACCTTTCAGATGCAATCCGATTCCTTGGGGTTTAACCAAACAGTGATTAATCATGAAATCATTTCTCCTTATACTTCCTCATTGTCAGTCCCACCACCCTGGAGAGAGCTTAAGACTAAAGTCAAATCATCTTATATGTAAATTAACAATTTTGAGATTTGATCCAGTATTGTGTAACAAGGAAATGTAGTGGTAATGACATTGGGAGACCATCATGTTGCACTAAAATGATGGATAGAATTTGGAAACAGACACAAAAATCAGTATCCTGAACATCTCAGGTATTACTTTGTAAAAAAGCAACATCAGAATGGAGAATTTATTAAACTTCTAAAAGCAAATTTTGTTTAAATATTGTAATTGATCAAATAATTCAAATCTATCTAGAATCTTACATAAATGCTTTTCATGTAGTATAATAACATTATCTGTGTTCTAACAGTTGTTAATATTAGACCTGATGCAATAGTTATTATTTACTTATTTACTGCATTTAATTTTTTCTAAGAGCCCCCACACAAAAAGAGTGTTTTTTTTCCAAAGACTGTCATGCATGGGAGTTTCTCCTAATACAGTATTATTCCTATTATACTGTAACAGAGGAAGAAAAAAGTGAGCTCTGAAAAATACCCAGAGAGTGGAGTACGACCATAGTATTAAACACTTGATCTTCATAATTTCTATGCTTTTCAATCACCAATTAAGGAAAGCTGAGCTGGGGACAAGGGACAGCCACAAAACATGCCTTTTACAATGCGGTCCCTTGTTGTGATCTTCCTTCTCTGAGGACACCTGATAGGGATCTGCTTCCAATGTCTTTTCAGACAAAATATTTTATTCTCACTGGTGTTCTAAATCTATTATAGGCAAGCCTACATTATGCTGTGTTTTAATGTGGCTGATAGAAATGGCTTGCTTGATCCTAATTTCCAAATTTTATTTCTACATTATAATTCTTCTAATAGTTTTATACAAAAATATATTCCTGTAGATTCAGAAATACAGATAAATAAAGTAATATACATAAATTCATGTTTTCTATGCTGTGATATGCTCCAAAGTATTGCTGCTTACATTTATTTATGTCCTGACTTTCCAAAGAAGAAAAAAAAATCTAAAAATCTAAGTCCACCACATGTAAACTACAAAAACACTATTAGACTGCAATAAAGAGAGACAGAAAAACACCTCTATGAGCTCTGTGGCCTTAAACAAACTTCTCTGAATGTGCTTCTTTTGCTGGCTGCCCAAAGTCCTATGAGTATCTTTCAGTAAACATTTTTTCAAACTGTGTTGCTGGCTTATCATGCATGTAAACAAACCCACTCACTTTAGGTACAGTTATGATCTATCATTTGGGTTATAACTTTAGATGAGGTACAGAGGAACAGTTATCTCTGAGTCAAACCTAATCTATTTGTGATTCTTATTTAAAATAGCAGTAAAGAGGGGTATAATTAGAGTATCATATTTAAAGTAGATGAAATGCAAACTGTTGACTCACCAATTTGTAATTTTATTTACATAGAGCCATATTGTACTTACATAAAGGTCAAAGAGAAAAAACTTTCAGAAGAGAGGAAGGAAGGAAGGAAGGAAGGAAGGAAGGAAGGAAGGAAGGAAGGAAGGTTTCTGAGCAGAATTATGTTTTAAAATCCTGTGCAATCAGTCGTATGCAAAATCTGAGGACAAGGAATCTTCAATATGGAAATGTTACCTCCAAGCAAAATTATAAATTATCTCTTATCAACTCAGCCTTTCCCTTTCTGCTATGAAGATATTTTTGCTTAATATTTTCCTCAGCTGAGGTCTATAAAGTTTTTTGAAAGAAAAATTAAAAAATAACACAAGCCAATGTAAAGTAAGAAAGAAAAAAGAAAAAGAAAGAAAAAGAGAAAACAAAAATGCAAGAAAAGGGGGAAAGCTAAAAGAAAAATAGAAAAGAAAAATATATTTAGAGAAGTAGCTTCTGATATTCTTCACAGAAATTATAAGTAGAGTTATATTTTAACCTGTCTCTCTAAAGTTATAAATTTAGGTAATGTGTGACCCTCTAAAATTATTGGACTCCAGTAAATCCCAGCCAATATCATTAAAGGTCTGGAGTGATGGAATTATAGTCTAATGATTAAGAGGGCTACCAAACTCTGGCCTAACATCTGATATTTACAATAATGACCTATACAAACTGAATAATGATAAGACTAGAAGAAAGTAGTAATATGATTATTTAAAGCATTGTTAGAATTTACTGATAACATTGTCTCTTTGCTCTTTAGTTACCCACAAAATTTACTGTATAGTAGTGTTCCCAACCTAAGCAACTTTAAGATGAGTGGACTACAACTCTCAGAATTCTTCTGCCAGAGATGCTGGCTTGGGAATTCTGGGAGTTGAAGTCCACTCCTCTTAAAGATGCTGAGGTTGAGAAACACTGCTGTACTGTGTTACAAATAAACAAACTAAACAAAAATGAGGCAAGGAAGCAGTACAAAATAGCAAAACCCACTAGTAAGCAGATAAAGCTCTACTTCAGGTTATCATATTAATGTACCAACATGTACATCTGCTTCCTCATTCCCAGAATAATGTAAGCTAAAAATGAAATGCTTTTGGTTCCTTCATTTGAAGTCAATACCTCAGGAATGCCATTACAGGGTTTCTCTACACATTTAACAGTTAATTAGTTCTGGTTGTATGGTTCTTCCTCTGTTTGCACAATCTACTTAACCATGACTAACTTTTAAGTTTTAAGCATATTTTCTGCCTAGCTTTTAGTCCAGTGTGTCATGAGAACAGAACCCAATGTCTTTAACAATCTATAGGAAAAAATAACCCTCAACTATACCCCCTTTGGGACATCTTGCCAAATAGTTTTCCAACACAGAACATGCTTTTAAAGTGTCACCTTGGCAATATGATCTGCTTGTTCCATTTCACTACTCTGACCTAAAATCCCATTCAGTTGATCCACAGTGAACTGAAAATGTATCAAATATCTGGTATGGACAGATTCCAAGAGAAACTCTCTTTTCATACCTGTGTATTATTCAGCTCCGATAAATCTTTTTATGTATAGTCAATATAAAAACCATATTTTTAGAAGTTTTTTAGATCCCACAAAGCACCAAATTCTGGTTATTTGACCCAGAACAGTGTTTTATGCTGTGGAGCTATTCAGATTTTAAGTCCAGCCATCATATAGAATTGTCATCTTCTGTCTTTTAGCTTAGACAATTTGTAATTTTTTTTACTGTTTTCCACGAATCCCAGATTGCTTTTATTTAAAGCAGAATCCAAACAAAAGCAAATACTGTATATTCTTGCTTTGACAATGGTATTATTAAGTAAACTTTGCTAATTTCCATTAGCAAATAGTTTGGTTTAGGATGAACTGAATAGCACAGCTCCATAAGTAAGCCTATGCAGATTGACAGCACTGCTGGAAGCCCAGGAGAAGGAGCACAGGGAGCCTGTGACTTAACACCTGGCAGGTCTTCTGGCCTTTTTAAATCTTAAATGAAAACTGGGCACAAAAACCAATGCAGCATAAACACAGAATATTTGGCATGGTAATATAGAGATGTTTCTCTATTATTATGGCTTTAAAGTATGGAAAAGCGCTTTTCCTACATCTTTCACTGGTGCAGCTTCCATTTCCTCTTTGTCCATCCTATTCCTCTTCTCACACTTTATAAAATTTCTTCAGAGTTACTTAGAGCTTTACATTTTATCTAGATCTGGAATGGAAAAATATTTTTCAGTCTGGTCTATTGTCCATATAGCAAAAAAAAATCATTTAACATTTTTACCCATCCACCCCAACTCTAGGTGTTGTATTCTTTCTGTAGAACATATCCAAAGATCCTAATATGTCACATTAGACTTAATAATAATGTGTGCCCGCCTTGATTTAGCTGGCAAAGTGGGAATATTTTGAGTTCCAAAGATGGCATTGTATGCTTGTAGGATGGTATTGCACCTTGGTTAAAAATGGAACATTATTTCAGTTGCCAAACATTCCAAATATCAGATTTTTGTATGAGGTTTGAGATATACAGAGAGAGTTTTGCATATATACTTGTATTGCACTGTTGTAGAGGTTCAGCACCTACTATAGCCAATGTACATATTTCCATCACAGATTAAACATTACATTACATTGTGATTTGACTTCATTGTCATTGTGAATTCACATATCTTGAAGAGCCCAACCAACATATGAACCTCTCTAAGATCAGAATGTTTGTTTTGTTAACAATAATGTGGGATGCAAGTTCTCCTTCACAGGGTATCCAAGGCAAAAAGACACGTTAAGTCTTTGAGAACTGTCCCTGGTTCTGATCCATATTTATTCAAAGCAAACTTGGTCAACTACATTTATAATTAGAGATCCAAAAATATAATTATTCACAACTGTGTTAATTTACATTATGCTTAAGAAAATGCTAATAAGAAAGGTAAGATGTGAACTTTTGAAATGGAACTAAGCTAAAATATTTTTTTAAATATTCACATCTGATTGCTTCTCTTCTCTTCAGAAGCGAGGTACATTTTACTTCAGACTCATCATTAATCCCTCACACTGGAAAGTCATAATTCAAGACATTAATAGATTTAATATTAATGGCACTCTAGCCTGTTCATCATTATTTCATTTGTAAATTGTTTGCAGTTCCCCACAAAATATTTAAGAAACAACTCTAAGAACCTGTAGCATCTCTCCAAAGCAGGAAGTCCAGCTGTCTCAGAGAGATGGCAGTATTGTCCCCACTTGTAAGAGGAAAACTGAGGAAAGGATTTTTATACAAGGATAGGATTGATTCCAAATTCTTAGATACTCACAAGCCCCAAGTATTAAATAATTTCGTTTTTTTTAAAACCCAGTTAAAATATCTGCAATCCAATGGGTGAAAAATCATCTCATCGTGTTGCTAAAGTTTTTTACTCTGCATGAAGAAATTACATTGTAACTATAGAATATTAATAATACCAAACTACTCAATCTCATATTGATTCTATACTATATTGTTCACAATGCAGCTTACTATTATTAAATACAGTATGCCCAGAATTACATGAAAAAACAAATGGTATCCTTAAAACAATGTATTATTCTATATAAATTAAAGGAAGATTCATCCTGCAGTATTTACAAGAATAACCACGAATAGAATGACGCACTGAATCATTCACTGATTCATTTTTATATTCCTCTTGTCCCAGCTGTTATTTATTGGTATTGCTTATTATAGTCATTGCTAAGATAGAAGGATTTGGGCAAAATGCTTGACTGATATTCTCACAACTACCTAAAATGAGTCCATATGCCCATTTTACTGGTGGAGTATTGATACTTGCTCAACATTATCCAATATGCTCACTTTGAAAACTGATTCAGGCTTTGATCTTCAAAATTTTCACATAATCAAAGAACAAAATATTTTGCTAGCATAGTATTTTTAATGGAAATATTACATTGTATATCCAATATAAAGTCTAAGAAGTAGACCTAACAAGTAACCAAAATGTTGTTGAGAAAAAAGCAAACATACTTTTCTTAATTATGTCATTAGAGGTGTATGCCAGGGGACCATTCCTGGGACCATTCCTTTGTATATTCTCACCTTTATGTCTCCCCAGGATTTCATTCTCAATTCTCAGTTGATTGCCCAATCTCCCACCAAAGAAGTTCTCTATGTTCATTTTTCAGAAATTATCACCATATGCTTGAAGAAATGTTCATGTTGCCTTAGATCTTCAGTCCTATCTCTAGATCAGAGAAGGTGGCAACCAACATCCAGAAATTCACCTGGATTGTTGCTGAGATGCATGGATGATGGCATCCCTTATTTTGAGTTGGCTTTGATGTTCATATGCCTTTGCATACACAAGTCTCTATGTCCCAAGGTCAGACTGCCCTCTCTCCACCTGCACTCTACTGATTACCTCTGAGACAAAAACAGTATGGGGAGTGGTTGAAGTGTCAACTGAACATAAACCTGTGCATGCCCCAGATGGGCAGCAGAGCTTGATGTTCTCCTCAAAATGCTGAGAAGCCCCTATTTAAGAAACCCTTTCCCTCTCCTGGGAAGCCTCTTGCCCCACAAGGATCCTGGACCCATGAGAAATGGTTGTGAAGGATTTGGCAGGTGAGCTGTCATTTGTGTTTCACTAACCAAGCATAACCACAGAGAGAGAGAAAATCAAACATGATGCCAACTTGCTTGTGGTTTGAGGGTGGGAAATGAGAGGTTACTCATGTGAGGAGTGGGGAAAAAAATATATTGCAAAATGCAATTTTAGTGGATATCTTCCACCTCCTAGCAATCACTATTTATGTGCTTAGTTATTACAAATAGATGTCCATTAAAGTGGAAGTAGTTTTTTATGTGCTAATATAGCATATCTATTCCTCTCAAGCCACATGGCACCACAACTGACTCCCATCATAGTAGGATGACATCCTGAGATCAGTATAGTTAATACAATCTAGAGGGAGATATTGTACCCCAGCCTTTGAATTTGAATCACAGCTATCATTCTCTAGTAGTCTAACATGGAAAGAAGTAACAAAACTATTCCTGGCTAAGGAGAAACAATGGACAAAGGAAGAGCCTGTTTCAATATAACTTCTGTAATATATAAAGCAGCTACCTCAAACTGTATATTATTGGATCTGCATATTAATGCAACACACATGATCCCACAATGTAATGGCACGTCAGTACTGAATTAGCACTAGCTGAATAGGCACTACTGAACTACAGATTTGTGCCTAGATATACCACGTCAGCAAAGCAGTAAGACGGGTTATCCATTCAACTTTAAAAAGTTGTTGAATATTCCAGGGTTACTTCAATGAATTGTTCTATAATTGCAAAGCTAGCTGGTGCTCAGTGTCAGTGAAGATTTTGAACTCATAAGAACTGGCCAACAAGTCTTAAAATATTTACCATTCTCCATTAAGATGTTGCAGGGAGAAGACACTGGAATTTGCTTCTGCTTCTTAAATCTATCAGTTAGAAACATCCACACTTACCCTTTAGATGTCCAGAGAAGTACCAATTACCAGCAGCAGCATCAATCCAATAGTGAGGCAAATGCTCCAGCCAATCTTAAGTGCCTTCACTGAGCATGAAGTGGTCAAAGAAGAGAGAATGGAATAGCCAAGGGAGTTGATTAAGGTGCTTTAAAGAGCTAAAACTATGTTTTATCCCTGCATCTGAACAAAAGTATTGTATGCAAAAAGTAAAATGCTCAAAGATGTATCAAACCTGCAAAGGAAAGATACCCTCATAAATACTTGCCACACACTAAGGAATGCAGGCAGGCAGAGAAACTGCAATGGAGAATGAATATAAGAAGAAATGCATTCATCTAATCAGCATCTTTAAAAAAGTTATGCACCAAGGCTAGAGCTGTAGCTGAATACAAGGAATACAGTGTTCAGGAAAAGTCTTCTTTCCCCATTATATCTAATTCCTTCCTTATTTATTTACCTAAACAAACAAGCTTGTGCGTACCTAGTAAGAAGTGTTTAAATATCCCAGCCTACAGTTAACTCTTTAATATGTGATAGTTCTACATATGAGCCAAATAATTTTTCATGCCCCGACAACTGACCCCCTTCTCTCCAGTTCCCCCTACCCTTTTCTTTATCTCTTGCATGCTTAAATGTACAGCTAGAGTAATGCCACTTTGTGTTCAAGACTGCCACAAAGGGAGAAAAAAAGGTAATAATGTTTTTCTGGACCAGCATGGGAATCCCTTCCCTTTAAATCAAATCGACAATGTGTACAGGAGCCTCCAGTTGTGGAAATCCAACTCTGATCAGCCCTAACTAGAGCTGCAAGGCTGAGGTTCCTTCCTACAAGATTGGAGGCTCTCATGCACTGCTTTTCCTTCCTCTGTGTGTGCCACAAGACAATGACAAACCAGCAGGATGCAGAAAGACCATTACTGAATAAAGAATATTACTGAAATCTGCAGCTATTCATTAATAAATACTTTTTTACTTGGTGTTCTGGGTGGTTCCTCTGATTTATCAATTTGCCGTTTCTAGTATCCTCAGTAGTAAACATACTATTAATGCATATGAATACACACACAGAAACACCCAAACACACTTGTGAAGGTTTTCATAAGAGCAATGGCAGCCATAAGGTTGAGCATGAAAGGAACAGAAAAAAGAGAGCATGAGCCAGTCATGAACTATGGATAGATTATGTAACACTCATTGAGTAACAGAGAATTCAATGGCCATTGGGTACTGATTGGTCAACTTTGTGTAAGGAACATATTTCTCAATTGGGGAAGAGGAGATCTTTCCCACCTATTGCACTATAGTCTCATTATACAGCCTTAAAAGTTTCAATAAACTACTTGTATGAGGAACTTGTACAGAGGCATGTGACTAGAAGTCAGAACTGTTACTATAATAAACCATGAAACATATCACTCAATCACAAGTCAGCTTAGTAATAACAAAGCTTATATGTATACAAATTTTATACAGCATATAACTATATTTTATCTCTCTCTATGATTGTATATAATATGATTTTATATATATAATGTATATTATATATAGGTATGTATGTATACAAACACACACACATACAAGCACACTCAATAATTATGAGGCCCATATACCACCATTTGACTCTTTAAATTTGTATTATTGGTAGACTAATAACATTTTGTCAGAAAAATCAGAAGAAGTGTCAAATAACTAGGAAGAATACGTTTTTGGTTATGAAAGAAAAAACAAAGGATCTGTCCAAATGTAAACATTGAATGGTTTGCTTATATAAGCGACATGCAAGTTGCAAATGTTTCTATTTCCTAAACAGAGTACTGTATTCAGTATTTCCAGTTAAGTAAGTTCACTGTCATTTTATTTCTTTTAGTGTAGAGAAGGATAGCATCTCAAAGGCCAAAGGCCAAAGACCGCAATACTACTACTACTACTACTACTACTACTACTACTACTACTACTACTACTAATAATAATAATAATAATAATAATAATAATAATAATAATAAAAGGGATCTTGGAGGTCATCTAGTCCAACCCCCTGCTCAGGCAGTAAACCCTATACCATTTCAGACAAATGGCTGTCCAATCTCTTCTTAAAAACTTCCAGTGTTGAAGCATTCACAGTTCAGGAGGCAGGTTGTTCCACTGATTAATTGTTCTAACGGTCAGGAAGTTTCTCCTTAGTTCTAGGTTGCTTCTCTGTTTGGTCAGTTTCCATCCATTGCTTCTTGTCCTGCCTTCAGGTGCTTTGAAGAATAGCTTGACTCCCTCTTCTTTGTGGCAACCCCTGAGATATTGGAACACTGCTATCATGTCCCCCCTTGTCCTTCTCTTCGTTAAACTAGACATTCCCAATTCCAGCAACTGTTCCTTATATGTTTTAGCCTCCAGTCCCCTAATCATCTTTGTTGTTCTTCTCTGTACTCTTTCTAGAGTCTCAACATCTTTTTTTACATCGTGGTGACCAAAACTGGATGCAGTATTTCAAGTGTGGCCTTACTAAGGCGTTGTAAAGTGGTATTAACACTTCATGTGATCTTGATTCTATCCCTCTGTTAATGCAGCCTAGCACTGTGTTGGCTTTTTTGGCAACTGCAGCACACTGCTGGCTCATACCAGAGGGAAAACTGCTGGAAAAACTTGAATGATAAAGGTCACTGAATTTGGGGAGAGCACATACTGTATTTGGCACTGGCAGGTTAAGGGTGGCAACAAGTGTGGGAGGCTCCTATAAGAGAAACTGATGCCATTCTCAACCTTAACTCTCACCAGTCTTGGAAAGCTACCTGAAATTGTGTTGCTGAAATTCAACTATCTTCACACACAAAATTTATACAGCCAACCTTCTACATCAGGCATTTCAAACTGCCGGCCCACGGGCCAGATGCGTCATGCCAAAACCGCGCCCACTGCATTGCCGGCAATGGGGAAAAAGTCCCAATACGTTGCACTATCACGTGACTGTTCTACACCATATTCAAGCAAACACGTCTTATTCACTAAATTAAAAACTATACAATATCTTTTCAAAAATACATTTCTTAGTGCTTTGCTAAACAGCAGAAATCATGCTCCTGCTTGGTTAAAAGATGCACTGCACTTTCCAGTTTCTACTCATCCTCAATTTTTGTACCCTTTCAGTCGCACCTCTTTCCCTTCCATAACTACACAATAATGCACTTTTTGTGTTTACACTTACTCTTCCAAACATCAAGCAGAGATGCATCTTTTACAGCCATAAGGTAGATATCTGGCTCCCATGGAAAATGCCAGTGTGCCACTAATTAAAGGCTGATTGTTTATCATAGAGGAAATGGCCATTGTTTGTCTTGGAACATTAAAGCAGGACTTAGGAGACCAACATTCAGAACAGAAACACTCCTTTCCCATCAATAGGTCAGGTCATGGTTGATTTAGGGGAAAAGTTCCTCACTTTCTTCACTAGTAATCTTTGCAATGAAAACCCACCGCATTGATAAGCATACAATCAAAAGACTGT